TCCTTTTGTTCCTTTGTGCAGGTCAGCCCCCAAATACTTCATGGGCAGATTAACTTTGGTCATCCCCAACAATCTTTCCATTTTCCTTACTCTGACTAGGAAAGTTTTACCACATGCAAAGTTACTTTTATTGAAGTTAATAGCCTGCCCAGAAGCCCTTTGACATAGATCAGGAAACCTTTCAAAATTCTGAAGTGATCTAGCTTCCCCATTAAGAAAAATAAGGATGTCCTCTACAAAGCATAAATGGGAAACAACCTGACCATATTGCCCCATCCAATAAGGCTTAATTTTGGAAGAAGATAGGAGTGCTTTCAAACCTCTAGAAAAGGCCTCAATAGCAAGATTGAATAGAAAAGGAGATAATGGATCTCTCTGTTTAACTCCTCTGCAGGGTTGGAAACCTGTGGGAGAACCATTAATTAAAAGTAAGAAATGAGTAGCTCTTATGTGATCCTACAAGAGCCTGATGAAAGAATTGGCAAACTCAAAGTGTGTTAAAACTCCCTCCAAAAAGGTCCTAGACAACATATCAAATGCTTTGGTCATGTCTAGTTTAACAACTAAATTAGTGCCCCTCACTTTCTTGTCCAATGAATTTATCATTTCTTGAGACACCAGAATGTGATCTGATATATCTCTACCTTGCATAAAATCAGCCTGTTCTACAGAGATTAATCTTGGCAAAATCAGGCTGATTCTAGATGATAAAATCCTCATACAGACCTTGCTTATGAAGTTTGATAAACTAATTGGTCTGAAGTTGGCAATAGTTGAGACCTTATCTCCTTTGGGAATAAGAACAATAAGGGTGCTTGCCATTGCCCTAGGGATGTGATTACCAATAAAAAAAAGTCTTGCACAACCCTAACCACATCCCAACCAACATTATCCTAACACTTTCTGAAAAACACTCCATTATATCCATCCGACCCAAGAGCACCATTTTTATTTAAAATCCATACTGCCTGTTTAACTTCCTCCATAGAGGGCAGCTGCATCAGCATATTATTATCATTGTCATCCACTAATCTCGGTATATATTGCAGGAGTTCTTCCATGTCCTCAACATGCTCCTCAGCAAAAATTCAGAAAAGTAATCCTCAGCAGCTCTAGCAATTGTAGCATGTTCATTACAAATATTACCAGTTGCATCCTTGATAGAAGATAAGTGTTGCATCCTTCTCTTAATTTTTACAAATGAATGAAAAAAGTTTGCATTGGCATCCTTTTATTTCAGCCACTTAATGCGAGCCCTTTGTTTCCAAAATACCTTCTCTTACTTGTGTTTAGAAAGGATAAAAGCTTGCTGAAATGACCAATTCTCTCAGTTTTCATCACTAGGGTCAGATCCATAGATGATCTCTGCCTGCTTGACTTCCTCTTCCAGTTTTTTGATATCTTCAAAAAGATTATCAAATGAATTCTTATTCCAATCCTTCAAAATCTTTTTAAGAGACTGCATGTTGTCATACAATCCTCTCTCATACCACCCCCGGATTTACAGAAATTCCAAGCATTTTTAACCACATCCAAAAACTTGGGGTGTGAAACCCACATGTTCTGAAATTTAAATGTTTTGGGCCCCCCTGCTAACTGATTTTTGCGCTGAAACAGGATTGGAGTATGGCCAGAAGAGGCGCTATTGAGGTGATTAATCTGGACAAAGTCATAGACATCCAGGAAATGGGGATTAACCAAGATCCTATCCAACCTGCGCCACAACCTCCCATTGGACCTTAAGCCAGTCCATGTGAAAGAACTTCCATGAACTGGTAAGTCCACCAATTCACGGTTGGTAATACATTCCCTAGACTTATTCATGCTGATCAGAGAAGGAGAGGATAAACCTTTATGTTCACCATGATATGCAATACCATTGAAATCCCCCCACCATCCAAGCCTCATCATTAGTTGTAGCTCACCCATGTTCTCTTCTGTTCTCAGTCTCTGTTATTTCAATTTATATCTTCGTTCTCATAATTATATACGTAGTATATTTATATTTAATACATATTTATACATTCATGTATAATAGTATTATATTATTATACCTAATACTCCCTCTGCCCCGTTGGAAGGTTCTCGTGGGTAAATGACACGATTTTTAGGCAAGTGGTTAAATCAAGTATTTGGGTATAAAAGAGAGGAAAGCAATTTTTTTGAAAAGATAAACATATAAAGTGAAAGTAATTAAAGGAAGATAAGTTGGGGGAGGGAAAATTGTTGACACGTAATGATTAGGAAAAAGAAATATGAGTAAAATTGTAATTTAAGAGAGCAAATTATTTCCTAAAATGGAATAGGAACCTTTAAATAGGACACCCAAATAAGGAAAGTGAAAACCTTTCAACGGGACGGAGAAAGTATTTCTTACATTTCGCCTATATATGTTATTGCTTTCGTTCTTGAGCTTCACTTCAAACTTACTAGTTATCAAACATTTTTAGAGTATTATTATAGTTGTTTCTACGGCGGCCACCCTATTGATGTTCAAGCGCAATTCAATGAGGTCTGTAATATATTTTATAATTTTATTTAATGAGTTTCATGCACAACATGCTAAATCAACTTGCTTCTTCATCTAAAGGAAAAAACCTTTTTAAATCAACAATATAAAATCTTTTATAGAAAAAACTAAATCTACTCCTACCATTTCACATAGCTCGATTCATGAGCTTCCTTTGTACTACCTATGTTCTTAAATAAATGCAACACTTTGACTTTTACACTATTCACATGTTCTACTTTGACTACGTTTTATTTATTAATGTAATAATATTATTTTATGAAAAAAATATTGTCACTTGTCTCATTGTAAATTTTCATAATCTAATTTTTTTAATTTTTTTACTTATACAAAATCATTTATATTAATGGTCAAAGTTGTGTCTCGGCAAGTGTGAAATGTTGACCGTTGCATTTATTTAAGAACGGGGGAAGTATCTAACATTTCCTTGTGAGTGTGAAGAAGGAAAAATTTTGACAGTCTCAAATGGTGGAAGGACAAATGTGTTTCCACGATTGGTTGAAGGCCTACTGGTGAACTCAAGAACTAAACATAGCACTATCCCGCCACAAAGTGAACTCAAGGACAAATGTGTTTCCACAATGGATGAAACAACAACCGATCAAAGAGTAGGGGATTTATTAACCCTTCTAAATTGTTGTTTAAATATTTTTTAACAATTACTTATTTGCACATATAATCATATGTGTTATGTACACAGCACACTCCATTTGAGTGATTGTTTATAATTGAGATTTATGTAACACTTAATTGAGTAGTATTTTTTAATTGTACAAGTAAATTTAATTTTTTAAACAAACTTATATTTTACTTTTAATGTGCATAGTTTTTTGTTTGTATTAATATAATACTTTTAAATATTTTTTTAAGTTCTAAATATGATTTTAATCCATGCAATATGACACTTTATTTTAGATCCCTGCAAAATATTTTCTATATTTTTCATTCCGGTAATAAGCGCTATTTTGGTTTTAGTCCGTCTCTAACTCTGAACATCTGTACTTAGATTTTTTTTATTTTCGGTTGCATAAAACTACTTGAAGCATTTAAATTTATTATTTTATAAATTTTTCAAACAAATAATTCCAAAAAGCTATTATTTGCATTTTTAAAATAGAAATTTTATCGATCCAGGACTCGAAAGATAGATAAATTGTCAATTTGGGACCTGAAAGATAAATTGTATCAATACAGGATCCGACTGATAGAAAACTATCAATTTAGGACCTAAGTTGTCATGAATTTTATATTATTTTATATTTTAAATTTTTTAAATAATATTTATTTTTAATTATAAAATTTATAATATTTATTTTATTTTTATTAAACTAATAAACTTTTGTGAAGAAGAGTTTATAAAAAATTAGCAATGAAAATAATAAAAAATTAAATAAATCAAAACCTATGAAATGTTAGATCTTAGGTTGATAGTTTTTCATCATTCATGTCCTATATCGACACGTTTCATCTTTCAAATCTCGGATTGATAATTCGTCTATCTTTCAAATTCTGAATTGATAAAATTCCTTGAAAATATGTATTAAAAATCTTTTAAAAATTGAAATTAAATTCTTTTGAATAACATGACAAAGAATTAAAGAATACTTATTAGTGGGGATTGTTTCATTGCCAAATAGAGGTTGTTATCATTAATCATGGATTAAAAAGAAAATCAACATAAATTTCAGTGATGAAAAACAAGAATATATTTTGCAGAAATCTAAAACAAAGTGTGTTATATTTGGGATGTTTTCTTTTGCATTGAAATTTACTGATCTGGTCTGGTATGAACTGATTTGCTTAAATCTGGTTTGATCTGATATGGTAAATGTCTAATCTCTATGTAGTTTATAATTGCCCAAATCTGCTCGCTCTGGTTTGTTTAAGTCCAGTTTGATCTGATCTGTTTAAATCTTGTATGATCTAGTCTATTTAAATCTGATCTGGTTTTATCTGAAACTGAAAACAATCTAAAAGAAAACATCGAGACTAAAAACATATGTATTCCTTGCTAAAAAACATTGTTAAACCTTTTCTCTAAAAAAAGCCAAAGCCCAACAAGGACCAGGCCCAGAACCGGACTGGGGGCGTAAGACCTGTGTCGGGCTGAGACTTGCATAATTCAAACCGAGTGGAGGTCCACTTAAAAGCTGGAAAGGTGGAAGGAGATAAAGGGTTTAACAAAATACAAAAGGAAAAGTTGAGGCCAGCCTGGGACCAGCGAGTGGAACGAAACCGGTCCAGCACAAAAAAATAGGTCTCCATTCCAAGCATTACTATTTTTTTAGAACGAGCTGGTCCAGGGACCGTGACCAGAACCGGACTTTATGCATACCTACTCACACAGTCACACCATTAGATGTTAATCTAGCATGTTTTAAAGTAAAATGATCAAATCTTATTACAACTCAAGTTAAATTTCACTGTTAGATTGTCATTTCTAGATATTTTAAGGGAAAAAAATCGGCAATAAATTCTTTAAACTAGTTAGTTTCTTTATAGAAAATATGTCCAAAATAACTATGTGATGACAGAGTAAATAATTTGATTTATGAGCCTGATGGAACAATATGTGCAATAAATACATGATATTTGTATTACATTATATTTATATTGAGATAAATATTTAGATGTATTGAGAGAATATTGGTCTGGGTGGTGTGAATTGGCTTCGGTCAGGGAAAAGATAGAATGGGTGTATCCGTGCAGTTGATATAGAAAGCATGTAGAAAGCTGTTATCAAACCACCTGCTGTTCATCCAAGAGCCAAAGTAAGCAAGCCGTCTCAACGGAATGGACGGACAAGGAATTTTTGCCCCCAACCCGCCGGAAACAATCTTCCTATTTAACCCGCTCCCCACTCTACTCTCCTCTCCTCTACATATTCATTCTTTTTACATAAGTTCTTTTCCCTCCCTAATCCACACAGAAAAGGGTAATTAAATAAATGCATGTAATTAGAAGAACATGAATGTGTATGAAAAGCTAAGAAAATCTATTTCGGGTTGAATACACCAAATCACCCCCTCCCCCCTAATGATGTCTTGCATTTGCACTGCGAAATGTCACACCGTGCAAAAATTTAGTGTACCCAAGCAGCCCGAGTTTCCCATCATTCCTTATCCAATCTCTCAGGACTGTGTGGGCGGTGGGACCCACATTCAACTCCTGCATCATACAAAATTGAGCTGCTGCTCATCAGGGGAAGAGACCACATAAACGTGTGTTGGGGAGAGAAAGAGAAAGAAATAATACCCTAGCCAATTCCTCTACAGAAATCACGCGGTTTCCGTCCCGTTCAAAGATCTCGAAAGCGGTTGATGCGATTTGCTCCCAGCTGTCAAGGGCTTCAAGCTGGTAAGTGCTGATGGCAGCTGCACAGAACTCCTCAAAGTCCATCTTTCTATATGATAGCGGTGCCATCTGTATAAAGTCTATGCATGAGCGGCCTTAAAAGTCATGGCCCCAATATATATAATTCATCTATTAGGTATATCACAAAGAGTGCCCACTACATACATGCATTTATGTGTGTGTGGGTGGGCGCGAGATTTCTATTTATCAATCATAACTTTTAGGCTTCTGAGCAAGACTTGGGGTGTTTGGTTTCATTTGGTTTGATTAATTACAATTCATAGAGTATTGACTTGCACCTAACCAGCCTGGCCGAGGCTGAGTCTCCAAGACTTGGCCTCAGAGGTGACCATTACACCATTAATTTGACAGTTTATGTTTTGTCACAATGAAGTTCTATTTAAACAAAAGAAGCTACTCATAATCATTACCGATGCTTTGTTATATAAAGAAGAGTTTTCCAGATAAGTTAAGAATGTTATGTTCGGTTATTCAAACAATTATATTTGAAGACATACTACTAGGGATGGACTGGGTCGGGCCGGCCCGGCCCGGAACCGGCCCGGAACCGCTACTGTTTGGGCCCGGACCGGACCGGGACCGGTTGGCCGGTTCCGGGCTTTTAGCCCGTTTGGGCGGGTCGGGCGGGCCGGGCTCGGGCCCAGTTTTGGGCGAACCAGCCCGGGCGGTTCGGGCCGGGCCCGGGTCATTTTTTTTTTTCAATTTTTTTTCTTTTCCTAGGGTAGGGCTGGGTGTTTTAGGGAGGTTTGGGGGTGGGGGTGAGCGGGGGGTCGGGGGATAACAAGAAAGCAAAAAAAAAAAAAATACATTGACCCGGGCCCTGCCCAGCCCGGCCCGGTTAGGCCCGGACCCGGTATCAACCCGGGTCGGTTCCGGGCCCAACATTTTGCAAAAAAAGCCCGCCCGGGCCCGGCCCGGGTCCATCCCTACATACTACCTCCTTCCCTTAGAACTTTGTGATCTTTGACTTTTCATGTTAATGGTGATAAAGTTTGGACCATGATTCTGATTAGTATAAAATTATAGAAGTTACAAATTTTATACTTTTATGAAAGTACTTTTAATAAAGAATATTTTCAAATCATTTTTATATCATAAAAAAGTTCCTATAAAAATATATAATAATTGGTCAAAGTTGAACATGATTGACCAAAATTTCAAAGATGGAAAAGTTTATTTCTTAATATTGTACAATTATGATTATTTTGCGGAAAAAATGTTTTATAAGATATGTATACCTTGAATAAACATGACTCTGATGTGGAAAGAAGAAGCCCATTATTATCAATATTATTATTATTATTCATTATTATTATTAGTTTCCTAAAGTAAGTTTCTTATAGTATTAGTGTTAGATTCTTAAGATTATTATTACTTGCAGTTTCCTATCAATTGAGATATTCTATTATAATTAATTTCCTAATAAAAGTACTGTAATAAAATTATGGTTACTCTAATACTAGACCACCAAGACTCTTGGGATTAGTATAAATAGAGGTGTCATATTAATGAATAAGATCATCACTCTTCCGGAGAGATAATTCTTGTTGTGCGCTTGGTGGAACCAACGAACACTTCCTTGCCTAGGGCGGGAAGCTGTGTTGTTTTTACAACGATCATACTTATCGTTCTTCTTTTCATCTCCCAACAACGCCAGTAACAATTTGATATTGGAGCCATCTCCTTCCTGTTTGCTTTTTTGTTTTTTCTCTCTCAAAAAGGGGGTGAACTCCGATCAAGCGTCTGGACAGGAAGGAAACAAAATTTGTAGGGTTGAAGATCATGTGATGTTTTAGCGATCTGTCGCCTTCCTTCCAGAGAGCAAATTTCCAGGAGCCCTTACGCCACAACCAACTCCGGGCAGCCGTTGAAAGCAATTGTCCTTAAACCATGACTCAAAATGAGCCACCAATGCTTGTGTAAGCTCATCTCATGACATGACCGGCTTTCGTGCCCGTAACAGGGTCAACCAATATAAGGCTGGCCCTTCCATCGCTACTACAACGGCTGCCACCTTCTTTCTCGGCGGAGTACAGTTCAATTCGAACTGTTGCTCAGCCCTATCAACCCAGCTGATCAGTTCTTCTCCGTTAAACGAGGGCAACATCATGAGAAAGGTGCTGTACATTCCAATTCCGAACGAGGATGCTGCTGCCGCGTCAAGTGAATCCACCGCCGTTGAATGCTCCTCCACCGCTGGCGGCGAGAGAGCCTCTGTAAACGCAGCCAAGGAGGAAGTGACGCTGCACGGCTGTCTGTCGCTGTTGTGCGCAGATATGGTGGGGCTGCCAACCGCGTCCAGGCTTGTTTCCGTCATGACCGGAGGAATTAGTGCCTTGGTAAGCGCTGTCAGGGATGCGGCAATCTCTGCCAGACGCATGCCGTGCTCCTCTAGGGTTTGATTCATCCGAGTTTGCTTGGCGACCATCTCTGTCAAGCGGTCGATATGAGATCTCATCATCTTGGCGGGACGGGATCCGGCAGGTGGGACCAATTGTTATGTAACAGAAAAATAAAATCAACGGGGTAAACCGTTGCCCAGAAAATCAACGATAAAAATACCGTTGCCCAGAGCCAAAAGGCTAAAATCAATTTTATTCCAAGATAAGATAGAATGAACCCTGGTAAGGGGTATAAATAGCCTTCTAAGAGAAACCCTAATCAAGCCCAAATTAATTAAATCCTAATTAAGCCCATAATAACTCTACTAAGTACTCTACTAATAATAGGCCCAAAGTAAAACATAACATTAACTTAATAATAATAAATAAACTCTAATGACAGCCCTAACCTGGCCCACGAAAGTGGGCCTGTGAAGTATATAAAGTGTATTTCATTATATTGAATCTTGATATTAAGAACTATACAAAGTAGCTATATTTATAGCTAAAACTAGAGCACTAGGGTTACTATACAAGATGGGCTAAGCCCAATACAACTAGGGTTTCAACACTCCCCCTCAAACTGGAGCATATAAATTATATGCACCAAGTTTGTTACAAATATATTGCATCCTAGGTCTTCTAAGAGACTTGGTTAAAACATCTGCAAGTTGATCTGTTGTTTTGACATAATGAGTAGTAATATGTCCATTTGTGATTTTTTCTCGAATAAAGTGACAATCAACTTCAATGTGTTTAGTCCTCTCATGATACACTGGATTGGAAGCAATGTGCATTGCAGCCTGATTATCACACATTAGCTTGGCGAGTTTCATGCTTCCGTATTTTAATTCTTGGAGGAGATGCTTCAACCATAATATCTCACATGAAGCAAGGGCCATTGCACGGTACTCTTCTTCTGCACTAGACCTGGCAACCACATCTTGTTTCTTACTTTTCCAAGAAATCAAATTTCCACCAATCAAAATGCAATATCCAGAAGTAGAACGTCTATCCATTGGACATCCAGCCCAATCGGCATCACAATATCCAACAATGTCATGGTGCCTTCGATCTTCAAAGAGTAATCCTTGTCCTGGAGTTTTCTTGATGTATCTAGAGACTCGGATAGCTGCGTCCCAATGTCCATCACATGGCTTATCAAGAAATTGACTAAGCACACTGACAGCAAATGAAATATTTGATCTTGTGATGGTAAGATAGTTCAACTTCCCAATAAACCTTCTATATCTCTCTTTATTGGGCAGGAGGTCTCCTTGTTCTGACACGAGTTTGATGTTTGGATCCATTGGTGTATCCACTGGCCTACAATCCAACATCCCTGCTTCCTCAAGAATATCCAATGCATATTTCCTCTGAGAGAGCACAATTCCATTTCTTGATTGGGCAACCTCAATACCAAGAAAGTACTTTAGTTTTTCCAAGTCTTTTGTTTGAAATTTGCTAAAAAGATATTCCTTGAGTTGGGCAATTCCTTGGTCATCATTACTTGTAATGACAATGTCATCAACATATACAACAAGAAATATACATTTATTTCCTGCAGAATGTCTATAGAATATGGAATGATCTACATCACTCCGAGTCATGCCAAAACCACGAACAACAACACTAAATCTCCCAAACCATGCACACGGGGATTGTTTCAAGCCATATAAAGAACGACGTAATCTGCAAACCAAACCAGACTCCCCCTGAGCAACAAAACCAGGTGGTTGCTCCATATAAACCTCCTCATGTAAATTACCATGGAGAAATGCATTTTTGATATCCAATTGAAATAATGGTCAGTGGCTCATTGCTGCCATGGATAAGATCAGACGAACAGATGCAATTTTTGCAACAGGAGAAAATATGTCGGTGTAGTCTAATCCATAGATTTGTGTATACCCCTTTGCAACCAGACGTGCTTTAAGACGATCAATGTGTCCATCTGGTCCTACTTTGACTGTATATCCAGCGGCACCCAACAACTGATTTTCCAATAGGAAGGGGAACTAAGTCCCAAGTCCCACTAGAATGTAAGGCCTCCATTTCAGCTAACATAGCTCGACGTCACTATGGGTGTGATAATGCCTCATGTGTGGTTTTAGGAATACAGACATCAGATAAATGTGAAGTGAAGGCAAAGTAAGGGGTGGAGAGACAATGATAACTTAAAAAGTTATAAATGGGATGAGGATTCAAAGTTGAGCGTGTACCTTTGCGGAGGGCGATGGGCAAATCATCATGATTGTTCTCTGGCACTTGGGTAGCTGTCTGTGCCGGTGTGGGATCCGGAGTAGGGGAATCAACGGGCGTGACCTCAAAGGACTCATTGGGTGGAGGGCGAGGGCGTCATTGATACACTTGTAAAGGACGTGTTATTGGTGGACATGGGTCGATAGGAGCACCGATAAGGGGGTGGAGATGGGTCTGAGATATGGGAGAAAGTCAACATATGAGGGGGTATCATGGAGGGGAGATGGGTAATAAAATGAGGACTCAAGGAAAGTGACGTCAGCAGACACAAAATGTTTTCTAAGGACCGGGGAATAACAACGATACCCCTTTTGAAGACGGGAGTATCCAAGAAAGATACATTTGATTGACTTAGCAGACATTTTGGATATTCCTGATGTGGTATCATGGACAAAGCAAACACAC